TTTAAGCCTTGTAGAAGGATTTTACAGCATTGTTGGCTTTTGTCTTCTATCTCCAGTGATGTTCCCCTCCTGTTGAGTTTAGCCGAGCGTCGGGTTGTACTGTGATGTTTCATCATCTTCTGTCCGTCTCCCCTGTCTGTTTTGTCAGCATATACATGGCATTCATTTATTCATTCACACTTGCATCATGCACGCACAATTGTATTTGTTGATGTCATTGAGTTCGTACACCTTGGTTGTGCCTTTTCAAATAGCACATTTGATCTTTCCAAATAGAGTGTCAACTTAAGCATAAAATGTGCCTCCTTTCTAATTCCCCAACTGAGCTAATCCTCGTGGATGATTTTTGATTTAGCTTACCTTGTCCATTTTTGGATAGGATAATTTCCCCAATCGAGTTACTTTCTCATTGGGAGGAGTCTTGTTTGACTGTTTTCTCTCTGGTTATTCCTGGATGAAGTGGCTGCCTCTTGCATAGGCTATACTCTTTGATTTTCCCCAGTGAAATTGCGACCTAGACGGTTGGTGCATTTATTTTGCACGTTAAAATGGATGATCTCCTCGGGAAGGATTGATTCAGGGTTCTCTTTGATGAAGATTTTATTCTCTGCCAGTATCATCGCAGTTTCCTTCGGGATTATTTTGGAAGATGACAAGCGGTAGCTCTTCACGAGCAACTTGTACATTACTTTTTGAAAGCGCCGAGCAGCAGTTCTTCATGAGCTACTAGTGCGTTATTTATTTTCTGAAACGCCAGCAGTTCTTCATGAGCTACTAGTGCGTCATCGTCATTTTATCTTTCGGAAAGCGCCGAGCAGCAGTTCTTCATGAGCTACTAGTGCGTCATTTTATTCCGTTGGAAAGCACCGAGCAGCAGTTCTTCATGAGCTACTAGTGCGTTATTTATTTTCTGAAACGCCAGCAGTTCTTCATGAGCTACTAGTGCGTCAGTTATGACTTTGTGAAAACGCCAGCAGTTCTTCATGAGCTACTAGTGCGTTATTTACATCTTTGTGAAAACGCCAGCAGTTCTTCATGAGCTACTAGTGCGTTATTTACATCTTGTCGAAAGCGCCGAGCAGCAGTTCTTCATGAGCTACTAGTGCGTCATTTACTTTTTTCGAAAGCGCCGAGCAGCAGTTCTTCATGAGCTACTAGTGCGTCATTTTATTTTTTCTGAAAGCTACAAGCAGCAAACTCTTCATGAGTTACCAGTACGTTATTACTTTTCTTTGGACGACAGCAAGCGGCAGCTTCTTTATTTGAGCAGCTTGTATGTTATTGGTATTTTCTTTGGACGACAGCAAGTGGTAGCCTCTTTATTTGAGCAACTTGTTTGTTATTGGTATTTTCTTTTCTAGACGACAGCAAGTGGCAGCCTCTTTATTTGAGCAACTTGTATGCTTTGGTATTTTCTTTGAACAGCAGGCGGCGGTCTCTTTATTTGAGCAACTTGCGCGTTGTTAGTTTTTTGGAAAACAGCAAATGGCAGTTTTTCTTTATTTGAACAACTTTCGTATCTACAGTCTCATTACCTCAGCATTAATGGGTACACCTCTGGGAAGCTAACAGAGAAGTCTGTTACGAATCTATACCTCCAGAATTCAGTGATCGATTATCAGCCATTTGATACTCTCTGTCTACCATCGGCCTTGAGTCGCGAACTCACTGTTTTGGATCAATGATCTGTTATGGCCTATGCAAGATGCTCTCTTTGTTAGGGTTAGAGGTTGTTTTCCCTCGATTTTATTCGCTGTCAGGAATCTATCGTTGGAAGTCGATAGCTCGTTTTCCCCAGTAGCGTATAATTCATGTCTCTGTGTTTTGTTGGTGTTCGATTCCCCCAACATTGTCTTGTTTCACACAATATCTTTCTCTGTGAATTCATGCACTACATTCATATCACTGCATGATGACGGCATCATAGGACAAAATTTGCGTAGTTATGTATTTAAGTACCTTCAATCTCGTCGAAACGAAGATTTCAAATCTTCATATCTCCGGATAGAAGGAACTTAAATAGGGGCAGCTGTTGTACCCCAAATTTTGACCTAAGATACCGTCTTCCATCTGCATCATTCGCATTGCAAGAGTTTTGACCATTTTTATCAAATTTTCAAAGCAGTTTAAAAATTCATAACTTTTTCGAGTCAGGAGCTGTTTATTTGTTGAACGCTAAATTTATTAACTGATCAAGATTTAAATGACGTTTATTAATTATTTATTATCTTAAATTTAAATAATTGGAATTTATTTTTCAATTGTTATATAATTTAAAGACTTATGAATAATGAAATAAGCATTTGAGAATGAGTTTATTAATTGGTCAACAATGATTATTTAATTCTTTATCATTTTTAGATTAAATAATTAAAATTCTATTTTTAATTATTATAATTTGGAATTTTACGAATAATGAATTAAATAGTTGAATTTGTTGATTAGTCAATGATGTTTATTTATTTGTTTGTCATTTTAAATTTAAATGATTGAATTTGATTTTTAATCATTATATAATTTAAAGAATTATAAACAATAAATAAATAATTGGAAAGAAAAGGAATTAATTGGGAAATAATAGAATTTTTATTTCACTTTATTCTATTTATTACAATTGTTGTTTAAATACTATTGTACAAAGTATTTATAATAACCATTACATAAATGCTTAAAGTAAAATAAAACTATTTTCCTAAATTCTAATTCTAATCTTCTATCCAATACTCTTTGTCTGCTCATTTAAATTTTACCTGCAAAGAAAACGATTAAAAGAAAGAAATTAGAATTCGAATAAATAATTAAAATGCAGAAAATAAATTCAATGTTCATCATTAAAAGCAATGGCCGGAATCAGTTACTCTTTTTTGCAAATCACGGGATTTCTCCCGGTTCACAAAAAAGAGAGGAATTTAAATGAATGCATAATTAAAAATAGCACATTTTCAAAATCATTTGCATTTTTATCAAAAGCCTACTGCATATTTCACATATGCATAAATGCATTTTTTGGTCAAAACTGCATAAGTACACACAGCATACATAATTTCAAAACAAACATATGCAAGGTATTTCAACAAGTAACGTTAACCTGTACCCTTATAGCAGAATAATATAGGCTAATGCAAGACAAAAAAACAATATGAAATTTCAAACAATGTGCAGTTTTAAACAACATATGCAAGTAACCTATATTTCCTTTTTCATCATTTTTCCAGCCTATTGTTTTTTCAGACAGCATGTACAGTATATCATTTATATATATCAATTTCTGTACTTGGGAGAGAGAGAGAAGAGGTTCAATTTTGCAGGTTCTGACTTAAGCATGAATTGGGAATAAAGTCAACTATGTAGCAGCATATGTAAAGGCATCAGAAAATATTAAAATACTAAAAACCTGAGCCATCTCAAAAAAGGAGGCAACGACTATATGGAATAACCCCTTCAAAGGGAAGTCTAAGCATAGCATATTTTCCACAGGAACATCACTGCAAAACCAAGCAAAATAACATATTCCATTTCCACGCCACAACCATTCTGCATTTTTTCATAACCATTCTGCATACTGCATCAAACTACATAACTTGCATATTGCATAAAACCATTTTTTCTGCATTGCATGAAACCATTTTCCTGCATTGCATAAAACCATTTTCCTGCATAGCATAACAATTCTGCATACTGCATCAAACTACATAACTTACATATTGCATAAAACCAATTTTCCTACATATTGCATAAAATCCAAACCATTTCCAAACAAAACCTGCATATTGTTAAACCCCAACCAGCATGCTGCAAAAAGATTCAAAAACCACTGATGCCTAAACCTGTCCATCTCTACATAACCATCACTGTTAAACCATTCAAAAAAAATGCCATAGTCCATTTCAAAACATAACCTGCATCAAAACTATTCAAAACCATAGTTCATGGCATAACTTGCGTACTGTAGTAAAACCTTAGATAAACCAGTATAATCCAAAATCCAAAAAAAACCAATTATTCATATTCCAACCAGTTTTAGACGAAGAAGAAGAATTAATAGCAGAAAGCAAAAAGCGAGGAATCTTCAGAGCTTACCTGACTTCGCCGGAATCGTACCGTCGGACTAGCTCCGACCATGTGAGTTTCTTCAGTTTTTCGCATAAATCTTTATACCGTTGTGTTGCCTTTGTCTCACTGAATAATAATACTCTCTTTAATTTCCTGAAATCATGTAAAACGGCTATTTAATATCTTTGCGAATCATCAATACATTAAATCCAGGCAATAACTCGATTGATAAATTTCAAAATTCAATAATGTCGCAAGACCAACGCAATCATATAACATACTGTTAAGTTAAAGCCAACTTGTAAAAAATACAGAAAATTCGCAAACCTTTTTCAACTACCCATTCGGACTTCGCGGTTCATTACTATCATCTTCATTCAATTCTTCTGCCGCTCTTAAATCCGCATCTGATACAACGATATCCTCCTTCCTATAGACACAGATGTGGAAATGGTTCTTGTCATGACTGTAGAGCCTGGATTTGGAGGACAAAAATTCATGCCAGAGATGATGGAAAAGGTTCAAATACTGAGAAAGAAGTATCCATTACTTGACGTAGAGGTTGATGGTGGATTAGGGCCTTCAACCATTGACACAGCTGCATCAGCAGGAGCGAATTGCATTGTTGCTGGAAGTTCAGTGTTTGGAGCCCCTGAGCCAGTTATATCCTTACTGAGGAATTCTCTGCAGAAAACACAGCAAACAAAGTAAAGATCTGTCATTTATATTGCGGTACACGTCACAACTTCATATAGTCAATATGCTTGGTGTGCTAACATTTTCAAGTCAAATAAGAGATCAAGTTTACATCTCTCTGTTTATTGTGCAATTAAAATGAATGGAAAAGTTAGTTTCAGAGTTGTTAGCATCTTTATCTTTTAGTATAGTTTCTCTATATTTCTCTTAGCCTCAAAAGTATCTTCATAACAAATGGTGCTTTCATTGCCATGACTCCAACTCCCCCCTCCATGGGAGAACTCTCTGCCACCATCACTCAACTCCTCAAAAGCCAACAATTGTTTCAAGCCAATTTGTCAGCAAACATCCACAACCTCACATCTAAATTCCATGACCTCCGATCACATATTCCACCATCAGATTTCACTTCACCCTTCACATATCAACCTCATCCTAATAGCCCCACACCATATCCATGGTGGTATTCACTCACACCATTTCCTCAATATCATCCTCCAAAACCACATGATTCATCACAGGATCCAATTTCAACCACCAAAGAAACAGTAATATAAAGAAAAGAAACAAAAAATTACCACCATACCTATTCTACATCACTCTTGAAATCGACTCATAATGGTAAGAACACAGTGGATTTGCAACACAAGGTCAACACGGGAGGTGAGTTGTTCACCAATTCAGATTCAGTCACTGGGATTTTTCAAGAAGAAACTCTGAATATGTCTCAGCTTCAAAATAGAGTCATGGATCCAATGCAAATCCTTGAGGCTTGTGTCGTCGGACCCAAAACCCTAGAACAACAACAACAATTTCAATGGAATTTTCGGGAAGATACCGAGAAACGAAGAAGGGACAAAGACATCACAAATTCAAAACGATGTCATTACCGTCGCAGTCACCGATAAAAGTCGGTTATCTATTTTTGAAGATGAGAAAGTATCAAAGAAAAGAGATGGAGAATAGGGCATCTTACCTCTCGCGGCCATTGTGAGTGCATCTCCTTTTCTGGTCACCCTGCTCCGCATCCCTCGCTTAAAACACCATCTTCATCAGACACAACATACGCTCTTCTCATCCAAATCGCATCCCTCGCTTAAATCATCTTCTTCTCAAATCGAACGATATCTCCTCCATCGACCTCCAGGACAGTCACCAGCGGCGGCCAGCTTGCACGTTCCTAGGTCTCGTCGCTACAGCATCTGTTGTTCTTCTTCCTGGGTCCGGATCTTCCACGACCCGCTCCACTCCTCTCAACCCAACTCAATTTCCTTTTTTAACTAAAAGCCCATTTCTATTTGCTAATCCACCCCCCATCTTTTATTTGGTTTTAGTTAAAATTCTATTCATTTCTTAACTTAATTAATTTAGACTAAGTAGTTTCTTAGAAATAACATATAGTTTTAATTAAATAATTTTTAATATTTGTCTAAATCTTATTAGTTTAAGTTTTAATTGAGTAAATCAAAATAAGAGATGTAACTTAAAACATTTTTTAATCATTGACTAATTTTATTAATTTAAACTCTTGGGATTTAATTTAGTAATCTTAGTATATCTTTAAATTAGACTTAGGTTAATAGCATTAAGTTTTAATTTTATTCAAAGAATTCTTAAGAGTAATACTTTTTATTTATATTAAAAAAGACATAAAAAAATAGAAATATAAAATCTAAAAAAACATTTCTCTTAATTCTCGTTACCCTTTTATCATTAAAAATGCGTAAAAAAGTGAAAACCAATTAAACTTTTTCTTTTCGCCTATTAAACAAAAATCATATAAAATGCATGTTCACATTTAATTGTTGTGTATCATTTTCTGTCAATTATTTCATTGCACTTGTTTATTCTGTTTGCACCAATCCAAAGGGAATTGTCTAATTTTTGTTGACTTCATGTCCTCAAAAATGATCGAGCGAATACTCTCATTCATTAAAAACTTAGGTTAATTTTCCTCAAACATTCACATTACTTCAAAATTTCAACATTTTCAAGACTTATACCTTTTAAGCCAAAACTTCGACATTAGGTCGTCGTATTTTCAAAAACCCGTCCGTATCCCTTTTTCGGCCAAAACGATTTATTTTCGATCAAGCAATCAATTTTAAATAAAACAGATATTTCAAAAGGTTCCTATAGAGTACTATAGATGCATTGGGTGCTAATACCTTCCCATTGTATAACCAACCCCCGAACCATAAGATCTCTTTTCGAAAAACGCTTTGTATTTGTATTTTTATTTACATTGCATAATTAGGGTTTTATTTCGCTCTTTTCCCTTTCCTTTGGAAACAATAAAGCGCGGTGGCGACTCTTGCTTTTGTGAGACGAATTAATCAATAATTCGATCTCCGATTTACCCCGCTACATTTTTTATCGCTACACATCCCAGAAATAAACCGGCTAGCAACAGGTTCCTCTTGACGGTCAGCAGCGGAGTAGCAACATCATCCACAGAAGCTACATACAAATCCTCCTCAACAGCATTCACTCCATGCTGGGGCATGAGAGCGGTCACAACATTTGGCCTCTCGGGTGCCTCGAACTGTATCTCCTTAGCATCAATAAGGTCCTGAACCTTATTCCTCAGGGCCCAACAGTCATCAGTGGAATGTCCCGGGCTATCAGAGTGATAAGCGCAACGGGCGTTGGGGTTATATTTCGAAGATGCTGTGTTTACCATCTTCGGAGCCTCTTTGGCAGTTACTAGGCTAGTTGACAGTAGTTGCGGTAGGATCTGAGAGAGAGTCATGCTGAGCCGAGTATACTGTCGTTTGGGCCTCTCAGCTCTGGGTTGGTTGTACTGTTGTGGAGCAGCAGCAGGCTTAGAAATAACCACCGAGTTGACAGCTTGGCGGCGTTTTGGTTTGTTCTGCCTTCTTGGACCATACACAGCACTGGCCTCCTTCTTGAAGGGCTTCTTTTCAGCATTTGAGGAGGCACCCTGCTGTATCTTTCCCGATTTTATACCAGCCTCGATCCTCTCACCAGTCAGGATTAGGTCAGTAAACCCAACAGAGGAATTACCAATGAGATGATTGAAGAATGGACCAGATAGGGTCCCTAAGAACATATCCACCAGCTCCCGGTCCGTCAATGGTGGCTGCACCCTGCCAGCCAAGTCTCTCCATTTCTGTGCGTACTCCTTAAAGCCTTCACCCGTTCCCAATGACATACCCTGGAGTTGGGTACGCGTGGGAGCAAGGTCGGAATTATATTGATACTGCTTGTAGAAAGCAGTGGCCAAATCCTCCCAGTTACGAATGTTGGTTCCATCCAGCTGATAGAACCATTCGAGGTGAGTCCCTGAAAGACTCTCCTGGAAGAAGTGGATCCATAAATTCTTGTCTACTGTGTAAGGCTGGATCTTCCTTACATAAGAACGGAGGTTCATCTAGGGACAGGAAGCCCCGTCATACTTCACAAAGGCAGGCGCCTTGAACTTGTGTGGGATCACCACCCCAGAAGATAAACCCAAGTCTCCGAAATCCAACCCAGGAACACGTTGAATCTCCATAGCATTTAACCTGTCCTCCAGCTGTTTGTACCGGTCCTCAGTAGGAGGGTACTGTTCGTCATTGAAGTCTGTCTCAGTGTCAGAGACCACAGGACTAGGGACCTCTCTCCCCTGGTGACTACCTTCCCCCACAGATGGAGTAGTCCTCTAAGCTTCATTCTGCAATGTGTTCCTGAGTCTGCGCCCAGTGTTGAATAGCACAATCCTCTTCTTCTTCTTATTCTTCTTCAGGAGCAAAGCCTTCAGCTCTTGTTGTCCCTGGGCCAAGTTCATGACCATCTTCTGAAATTGGGCATTCTGGGCCTGGAGGGCCTTGATAGCTTGCTCGGTAGTGAGTTCAGGATTCATGATGCTTGAGTGATGAAATAAACAACGAAGAAGATTAAGCAACCTGTAGGAAAAGGGTACATGTAATGCATATGATGAATGAAGTGCGTATGAATTATGTTTTCAAAGACAATCGGGAGTCAACTTTGTAAACAAAAGGAACACACTTTATTAGATTCAAACTTTGAATTGTTCAACAATCTGCCCTTAGGCGTTACAAGAATGAAAATACTGAAAAGGAAATAAAGCTGTAAAAGAAACATCCAAAGCCCATCAGTGCTCCCATGGCCTCCTCTTCTCAGTACGAATATAGTCATTCAGGGTTCGCTCGTTCTCCAATTGCTTGGTCAGCTTCTGGATCTTCTGTTCCTGTTCGTTGAACTTTTCCCGATAATAATCCCTCTCTTCCTGTAGTTGCGCCCAAGACCTCTTTAGTGTATCAACATCAGTGGGTATCTGAGGAGGGAGAACAGTTGGAGGAACCCCATCTTTATCAGGACCTTCAAGAATGATAGGCTTGACAGCTTCATATGACATACCTAACTTCTGAGCACGGATGCGGACCCATCTGTAGTAGGCTTCCATAGGTAGAGAAGTCTTTGGTCCCAGCTCTTGCGGGTCAGCTTTGTGAATTCTGTCCCAAGCTTTGATGAATCTACGGTGCAGTTCGTCACTATCTTTCTGAAACTCAAAACTGATGTGAGGCACCGGCATCTCATGAGGCCCTGCTCTTCTGGCTCTTCCAAACTGACGGAGCGCTAGACATGGATTATAAGAGATCCCTCCTTGGGTACCAATCAAAGGAACATTAGGATATTCTCCACAACGATCAATAACAGCCACCTCATCCAAACCTCTGAGAGTCCAAATGATGTCATTATCAGTGAGAGACATTAACCTATGAGCCCAGCCTCTTCCTTCTTGGTTCTTTAGCACGAACTTGGGGAGGTGCGAAATAAACCACCTCACCAACAAAGGAGTACAACACCACAGAGTTCCTCGTCTCCGGGCAGTACGAGCATAGAGTTGTTGCAGGATGTCACCCAAGAGAGTGGGCACAGGGTTCCGAGACATGAAGATCCTTATGGCCGTGATATTGACAAAGTTATCAGGATTTGGAAACAATACTAGCCCATAGATTAAGAGAGCCAGAATGTCCTCGTACGCCCTGAAGTCTAAGTCATTCCAGTGAAGGGAGTCTGATCCGGGATAGGGATGCCAAGCAAATCAGAGAACTCTTCCAGGGTCGGGACCAGCTGGAAGTCTTGAAAGGTGAAGCACTGGTACAAGGGGTCATAGAATTGGGTCAAGACACTCATCAGTTGTTGGTCCCACTTTGCAGTGACTAAGCTGAGAAGAGAACCATGCCTCTGGATGAAGGAAGCGGTGTTTGGAATTCTGCTAACCAATTCTTCAAGCAACTCAGGTGGGTGAACAAAGTTGAACCGGATAGTGTTCCTTCACATGGGCATCATGGTGTCCTACAAAACAGAGCAAAGATGAAACCCTCTTGTCTTTGAAATGGTCAGTCCTTATGCAGGATGCATGCAATGTTATGATGGCATGATGTTATGATAAAGCACACCACGAGTATTCACAAAGGCAAACACGATAAGGCACACAAGTCACACAAGACAAGCCCTTAGAGTTTAGGCCAGCATGGGGTCTAGGTATTACCCTCTTTCAGTTTGTTGGTTAAGACCTGTCCTATCAGAAGTAACCGGGTTCTAGAGGATCCTAATATCACTAACTACCCTCAATCGGTCATAACTCCAGCATCGCAATCTTTTCTTGCGGCCAGAACCATCACGAGAGTTTAGCCTCAATGGGTGTAGCATACTGCTACTGTTCTATGGCCAAGTTGGGTCATTTAAGGTTCTAAGGTCGGTTGGTGCTTAATGACTCCTCAGAAGACCCATATTCTCCTCGTTGCGACACAAGGGATATCGGTACAGACCAAGGTGCCACACCAACGTAGCCACTGCTTCACCCATGTCGGTCTACGCCGGACAGGTCCCTCACAGCTTATGCTACCTAACAGGGTATCCCCAGATCCGGGTTAGG